GCATGCCCTCATTTGTTCTTGGCAGACCTGAAGTTTTAAAATTGGCATTTTAGTACCCTTGTGACCCTTACATGTTATTTTAAAAGTTTCTAACCCTTAATGTTTGTTTACTTTTACATAATTCAATTTTAAACCTACCCCAATTCTATTTCAAAATAGAATTGCTATAGGTTTAAACAGTGAACTTATTCTTTATGATTACTATCAAAAACTAGCTGCTCCTTATGGAGCTTACCAAAAGCTTATCGTTTATGTTTGAATTTCACGTATACCGAGCGCCTTTTATGGTGCTCGTGATGAGATAATGTTGACAATGGTGAAGTACTGGAGAATTAAGGTCTAATTTGATTCTTATGGTGCTCGTGATGAGATAATGTTGACAATGGTGAAGTACTGGAGAATTAAGGTCTAATTTGATTCGGTCAGCAAGCTAATATCTCATTATTTACATGAAAAAAGATGATTCAATCTTAAATATAACTCTTATTTGCTCTATTTTAGTATGTACATGTTTGATTCATAGAAAGTTAATTACACTGATGATTTCAGGCCTTCTCCGAGACGGACGCGTTGTGGCCGTGAAGCGTCTGTACGAAACCGCTCCACCTCCCTCCCCCTCTCCCTCCGCCTCTCTGCCGCCATCGACACCGCATCCGCCCTCTCCTACCTCCACTCCATCGACATCATCCACCGCGACGTCAAAACCCACAACATCCTCGTCGACAACAACTTCAACGCGAAGGTTGCCGATTTCGGCCTCTCCCGCCTTTTCCCCGCCAATGCCACGCACGTGTCCACCGCGCCCCAAGGAACCCCAGGGTACCTCGACCCGGAGTACCACAGGTTCTATCAACTTACAGATAAGAGCGACGTTTACAGCTTCGGAGTGGTCCTTATGGAGCTCATATCGTCTAGGCCGGCGGTAGATGTCAACCTTAGGCCGAACGAGATAAGTTTGGCTATGGCCACAATGAGTAAGATCCAGAACGGCGAGTTGGCGGATTTGGTCGATCCGGGACTTGAATTCGGCTCCAATCAGGAGGCGAATAGGATGGTGACTCAAATGGCCGAGCTAGCGTTCAGGTGTTTGCAGATGGATAGGGACATGAGGCCTCCGATAAAGGAGGTTTTGGAGGGGTTGAAGGAGATCGAGGCGGGTAGTCAATATTGTAATGGCGACAATTGCGAGGTTAGGACTAAGGAGGAGTCGAGGCTGTTGAAGGATTCAGGGTCGATATCGCCTGATTCGGTGATGAAGAACTGTTGGATGAGTAGTAGTTCTACTACTCCGAGCTCTAGCAATCAAGGTATAGTCTGAGTTTGTAAGGGGGTGTTTTCTCGTTTGAGACGATTGTGGTGGTGTGTAGTTCTCACGTATGTTGTGATATTAAGAGGGCAATGTACATAGTAGGAAGAGGTTACTGTAGTTAGCTAGATACGTCGCATTTATTTGAAGAGGGTAATAATTGTAGAAGTGCTTAAACAGATTTTTTTTTTTGGCCCTCGCACTTCACTGCCTTAATTTTGTGTCATCATCTTTGCATTAAAGACATTTTCCTTGTTCTCTAGAAAGTTTCTGTGGGTTATATTGAACAGGACAGAGAGTCATAACGAAAAGGATAGAGCTAACTCTACTATACTCTTCGTACGATAAGCTAATATCATGGATTGTGCTTGACAGTTTCAATAGTACACAGGCATCGTGATGCTCTAGCTAATATCATGGATCGGCCATAATAAGGGTTCCTTTTGAAGCATATTAATTAGTACAAAATAGGATTTGAGGTTAACATAGCTATTGCTACGATTTAGAGGGTAACTTCACAAATGTGTAAGATTTGAGGGGTTTATATCGGATGTTAACTCTTAAACTACACGACTGATAAACTGCGTCAGTTTCCACGTACGCCTGCAGACAAACACGTTACACGGCAAGGGTACCAAATTTGAGTTTCAATTTCAGTCATCGATGAAAGAGATAAACTTAATGTTCTACTGTGGACTTCCTGTAGACAAACACGGCGAGGGTACCAACTTTGATTCAGGAATGAGATCAGCAGGAGATCAGCTAAGGGGCATTTGGCCACGGTTTCCCTTCTGTTGATTTTTATGTTGTCTTTGTTAATTTCTTCCTCTCAAATTTCAGTGAAATTGAGACTACAGAGAATAGGTAAGAAGATGAAATAAATTGAAACTTTTGGATATAAAAGTGCAAAAAAAAAAAAATTAATGTTGAATATCATTCTGCAAAATTGGGTCAATGTTAATTGGAATTCCAATGTGAAAACAAGTCTATTATAAAATCTAAAGTAATAAATAGGGAGGTGGAAAAAAATATTTTAATGAGTACGACTAATCAACTCGATTGGGCGCCTTTTGTTGATGGAAATGAAAAAAAAATGGAACATGAAGAGATTGGTGCACATATGAAGACGAAAAAAAAATTGGAACATGAAGAGATTGGTGCACATATGAAGACAAAAAACAATCAAAAAAAAAAAAATCAAAAGAGAGGCGCTGGTATTCTCAGGCACACGCCACACAAAAAAAAAAAACGAAAATAAAAAAAAAAACCACAAAAGAAGAAGTGGACGAGAAGAAGAAGACGAAAGGAAAAAAAAACTGGGAACAAGATGAAAGAAGAAAGAGAAAAAAATAAATAAATAAAAAAATAATAAGAAAGCGTTGGCAGGATACGCACAACATGAAAGGAACAAACAAAGGGCTAAAAAAAATATTTACCTGTAATCCTCCTCAACGAATCTAACATAAGATCAATTAAAAGAAATACATATATAGCTATGTGAAGCCTAACTGGGATAGGATTAGATCTTCTTTTCAAATTCTGTTGGGATTTTATCTTAGGGCCTGTTTGTTTGCACGAAAGTAATTGTGAAGTAGCTGAAGTAAAAGAAGTAGAGGCTACTTCTGCTACTTCCAAGCAAAAAAATGTGTTTGGTTCTCTGAAAAACTTACTTCCAATACTTCCCTAAATGCTTATGTGGCGCCTACGTGTCATCCTTACTTCCAAAATATTTTTCCAATCCTCAATACTCAGAAGTAGCTCGGAAGTAGTTGAAATGCACATTAATTATGACATAAATAATTTTTTATTAATATTTCCTTTATTAGTTACTTCTAACAACTTTTCATTGATAAAATTACTTCCTAATAATATTTTCAAATGTTATCCAAACAAAAAAAGTAAATGAAGAGGAAGAAGTTTTACTTCCATTACTTCCAAAAATATATGAAACAAACAAAAAAAATGATATTTCCACTACTTCCCACTTCATAGCTTTGAAAGTTACTTCTATAACCTACTTCTTACTTCTAATACTTCCATTATGCAAACGGGCCCTTAAAATTGTTGATATCACTTTTCAAATTATTATCCAATTATTGCTTATAGTTTCGCATTGGTCAATGATGAATTTTTATCCAATTATTGCTTATAGTGTTGTGTATCTCGAACTATTTTGATTGGACTATTGTTTCAATCTGCAATCGTTGTTGTTTCGAGTTATTTTTCTTATATATCTTAAAGTTGTTTATATTAGTGAGTTGTGCCCTTAAATGATATATTAATATTGAGGGTAAATGCTGTTTCATTGCTAATTGCTTTAGAAAAATTATGTTTTATTGCTAATTGCTTTGGAAAAATTTGACTATCTCTTACTTTAATATATGGATATTTGCACAGAATAGGATACTCGTCAATAGTCTCCTGCAATAACTCTCTCTCTCTCTCTCTCTCTCTCTCTCTCTCAGACATCATTTGGATAAATTTCATATGAACCCCCCTAAGTTTGAGAAATTTTGAGATAACACCCCAAAATTTAACTTATGCATATAACCCTCCTAACCTTTGATGCTTATCAAAAACCCCTCCATACATTTGCAATTTTTTTTAAACATACCACTTGCACGATCTCCTAACCTTGCCATTAGGTCCTGCTAGCATGATAGTTAGCCCATCAATTTTGCATCTACAGAAGGGAAAACATGATTAACAATCTGAATAAGGATTATAACGTCCACTTATGCATCTACAGATCGATTAACTACGAAGTAGTTTGGAAATTATACCTCTGACTATTTGCTCAAATGCATCGACGAGGGAGGAGCTCAGCGTCGGCGTCGAGGGAGGAGCTCGGTCTTCAACGAGGGAGAAGCACGGGGGAGGAGCTTGGCGTCGGGGTCATCGTCGGCGTCGATAGCAGGGAAGCTCGGAGAGGAGAGAGGAACTCGTCGTCTCGAGGGAGGAGCTCGATCTTCGACGATGGAGGAGCACGGGGGAGGAGCTCGGCGTCGGGATCAGCGTCGGAGTCGACAGCGGGGGAGCTTGGCGATGAGGGAGGAGCTCGGCGTCGGCGTCGACAGAGGAAGGAGGAGGGAGAGTATTCGGCATGGGAGAGGGACGATGGGAGGAGGGGATCTGGATGTTGATTACGGGGAGGGGTTTTTGAGGTCATTGACAGCTGTTCTACGCTAATATCAAGTGGATGGCTCATTTGCAAAGTTCCCTCTGGTTGCTTACATCCATTGAAATCAGATCTGTGGTTGAGATCTGGCCACATCAGCTCCATAGGAGGAAATCCCCTCCTATGTCAATGACCTCCATTAATCTCATAT